AGGGGATGGAAAAGATATTCCATGCAAATGGAAATCAAAAGAAAGCTGGAGTAGCAATACTCATATCAGATGAAACAGACTTTAAAATAAAGAATGTTACAAGAGACAAGGAAGGACACTACATAATGGGATCAATCCAAGAAGATGTAACAATTATAAATATATATACACCCAACATAGGAGCACCTCAATACATAAGGCAAATACTAACAGCTATAAAAGAGGAAATCGACAGTAACACAATAATAGTGGGGGACTTTAACACCTCACTTACACCAATGCACAAATCATCCAGACAGAAAATAAGGAAACAGAAGCTTTAAATGACACAATAATCTAGATAGATTTAATTGATATTTATAGGACATTCCATCCTAAAACAGCAGATTACACTTTCCTCTCAAGTGCACATGGAACATTCTCCAAGATTGATCACATCTTGGGTCACAAATCAAGCCTCAGTAAATATAAGAAAATTGAAATCATATCAAGCATCTTTTCTGACCACAACACTGTGAGATTAGAAATCAATTACAGGGAAATAAAACATAAAAAACACAAACACATGGAGGCTAAACAGTATGTTACTAAACAACCAAGAGATGACTGAAGAAATCAAAGAGGAAATCAAGAAATACCTAGAGACAAATGACAATGAAAACATGACGATCCAAAACCTATGGGATGCAGCAAAAGCAGTTCTAAGAGGGAATTTTATAGCAATACAATCTTACCTCAAGAAATAACTCAAATAAACCATCTAACCTTACACCTAAAGGAAATAGAGAAAGAAGAACAAACAAAACCCAAAGTTAGTAGAAGGAAAGAAATCATAAGGATCGGAGCAGAAATAAATGAAATAGAAAACAATAGCAAAGATCAATAAAACTAAAAGCTGGTTCCTTGAGAAGATAAACGAAATTGATAAACCTTTAGCCAGACTCATCAAGAAAATGGGGGAGAGGACTCAAATCAATAAAATTAGAAATGAAAAAGGGGAAGTTACAATGGACATCACAGAAATACAAAGCATTGTAAAAGACTACTACAAGCAACTCTATGCCAATAAACTGGACAACCTGGAAGAAATGGAAAAATTCTTAGAAAAGTATAACCTTCCAAGACTGAACCAGGAAGAAATAGAAAATATGAACAGACCAATCACAAGTAATGAAATTGAAACTGTGATTAAAAATCTTCCAAGAAACAAAAGTCCAGGACAAGATGGCTTCACAGGTGAATTCTATCAAACATTTAGAGAAGAACTAACACCCATCCTTCTCAGTCTCTTTCAAAAAGTTGCAGAGGAAGGAACACTCCCAAACTCATTCTACAAGGCTACCATCACCCTGATACCAAAGCCAGACAAAGATACTACAAAAAGAGAAAATTACAGACCAATATCATTAATGAGTATAGATGCAAAAGTCCTCAACAAAATACTAGCAAACAGAATCCAACAACACATTAAAAGGATCATACACCATGATCAAGTGGGATTTATCCCAGGGATGCAAGGATTCTTCAATATATGCAAATCAATCAATGTAATACACCATATTAACAAATTGAAGACCAGAAAACATATCATCATCTCAATAGAGGCAGAAAAAGCTTTTGACAAAATTCAACACCCATTTATGACAAAAACTCTCCAGAAAATAGGCATAGAGGGAACCTACCTCAACATAATAAAGGCCATATGTGACAAAACCACAGCTAACATCATTCTCAATGGTGAAAAACTGAACTAAGTTCCTGTAAGATCAGGAACAAGACAAGGATGTCCACTCTCATCACTCTTACTCAACATAGTTTTGGAAGTCCTAGCCATGGCAATCAGAGAAGAAAAAGAAATAAAAGGAATACAAATTTGAAAAGAAGAAGTAAAACTGTCACTGTTTGCAGATGACATAATACTATACGTAGAAAATCCTAAAGATGCAAACAGAAAACTACTAGAACTAATCAATGAATTAGGTAAAGTTGCGGGATACAAAATTAATGCACAGAAATCTCTTGTGTTCCTATACGCTAACAAAAGATCAGAAAGAGAAATTAAGGAAACAGTCCCATTCACCATTGCAGCAAAAAGAATATAATACCTAGGAATAAAGCTATCTATGGAGGTAAAAGACCTGTACTCAGAAAACTATAAGACATGGATAAAAAAATCAAAGATGACACAATCAGATGGAGAAATATACCATGTTTTTGGATTGGAAGAATCAATATTGTGAAAATGACTATACTACCCGAAGCAATCTACAGATTCAATGCAATCCCTATCAAATTACCAATGGCATTTTTTACAGAACTAGAACAAAAAAATCTTAAAATTTGTATGGAGACACAAAAGACCCTGAATAGCCAAAGCAATCTTGAGGGAAGAAAACAGAGCCGGAGGAATCAGACTCCCTGACTTCAGACTATACTACAAAGCTACAGTAGTCCAGACAATATGGTACTGGCACAAAAACAGAAATATAGATCAATGGAACAGCATAGAAAGCCCAGAGATAAACCCACGCACCTGTGGTCAACTGATCTATGGCAAAGGAGGCAAGGATACACAATGGAGAAAAGAAAATCTCTTCAGTAAGTGGTGCTGGGAAAACTGGTCAGCTACATGTAAATGAATGAAATTAGAACACTCCCTAACACCATACACAAAAATAAACTCAAAATGGATGAAAGACCTGAATGTTAGACCAGACACCATAAAACTCTTAGAATCTATGGAAAACATAGAACACTCTTTGACATAAAACATAGCGAGATCTTTTTTGACCCACCTCCTAGAGTAATGGAAATAAAAACAAAAAGAAACAAGTGGGACCTAATGAAACTTCAAAGCTTTTGCACAGCAAAGGAAACTATAAATAAGATCAAAAGACAACCCTCAGAATGGGAGAAAATATTTGCAAATGAATCAATGAACAAAGAATTAATCTCCAAAATATATAAACAGCTCATGCAGCCCAATATTTAGAAAACAAACAATCCAATCCAAAAATGGGCCAAAGGCCTAAATAGACATTTCTCCAAAGAAGACATACAGATGGCCAAGAGGCACATGAAAAGATGCTCAGCGTCACTAATTATTAGAGAAATGCAAATCAAAACTACAATGAGGTATCACCTCACACCGGTTAGAATGGGCATTATAAGAAAACCTACAAACAACAAATGCTGGAGTGGTTGTGGAGAAAAAGCAACCCTCTTGCACTGTTGGTGGGAATGTAAATTGGTACAGCCACTATGGAGAACAGTATGGATGTTCCTTAAAAAACTAAAAATAGAATTACCATATGACCCAGCAATCCCACTACTGGGCATATACCCAGAGAAAACCATAGTTCAAAAAGACACATGCTCCCCAATGTTCATTGCAGCACTATAGACAATAGCCAGGTCATGGAAGGAAACTAAATGCCCATCGATAGATGAATGGATAAAGAAGATTTGGTACATATATACAATGGAATATTACTCAGCCATAAAAAGGAACGAAATTGTGTCATTTGTAGAGACGTGGATGGACCTAGAGATTGTCATACAGAGTGAAGTAAGTCACAAAGAGAAAAACAAATATTGTATATTTATGCATATATGTGGAATCTAGAAAAATGGTACAGGTGAATCGGTTTTCAGGGCAGAAATAGAGACACAGATGTAGAGAACAAACGGATGGACACCAAGGATGGAAAGCGGGGGTGGTCGTGGTGGCAGTGGGATGAATTGGGAGATTGGGATTGACATATATACACTAATATGCATAAAATAGATAACTAGTAAGAACCTGCTGTATAAAAGTAAATAAACCAATAAAATTTTAAAAAATGATGAGAGCATATCTAAGGTTAATTTTGGGGTTAACCTTATACCTTAAAACAAAATGATACCTAGTAATTTTTTCCCTAAAAGATAATGTCTTATTTTTCGTTAAAGTATAAAATATGAAGCCCAATACAGTGTCCCCTGCCATTGACTTGTGAACTTTGGAATCTATGAGGAAGAGTAGTTGAGCTAAGAGTATAGGAGTCAGAGCTAGGAAATTAGGCTTGGAGGCTGGTGATTTAGAAGGTTGAGGTCTTAGGGGGCAGTGGTCACAGAAGCCTAGGAGGAGACCAGGGAGCCAGGATCAGAGACTACAGTTAAAATTTCTCTGTGTAGGGTGGGTTCTTAGTTTTACAGAGCCTATTTATACTTAACAAAAATGGACCAAAGGAATTTGACTCTAGCTATGATACTCTTGCAGCTGAAGTCTCCAAATTTCTAAACAGTAGTTCTCTTTTCTGAACAAATCTAGTGGAATTAATGTGATCTTGGGCTTCATTGGATGTCTTAGGGAAGCTAGTCTTCAGATTTGGAGAAAGTAGTTGGTTTCTCGGTGGTGATGAGTTCTGAATCTCTGCTGTGAACCTCCACATTTGTGATCTTCTAGAGTTTTGTATGGGAAGAATATTGAATCCTCAGCATCCATTTTTTTTCTGAGATCCTCTAGATATTACCATGATGCTTCTGCAATTGACTTTAGTATACCCTGTAATTATCAGGTTTTTCTCGTAGCGATAATTGCTTGATAATTCTTTGAATTATCCTCTGTGATAGAGAATGGATAACGATGATGGTGATGGTATCTGAAGTCCTATGTGATTTACAAAGTGATTGGTACATTTTCTTACTTAGAGAAGTTAAAATATACTAATCTTGAGAAGGAAATAGAAAGCAAATTAGCATTAGTATGTAGTTGAATGCGGTACTTTCCATTTCATGGAAACACCAACCTGATTTTTATTTTCCAACAAAACATAGTAAAGAATTGCCACTTTCACATATTTATGATGTAATCGTTGACTGCTTTGGAACATTTCTTATTTTTTAATGTTAATGGAGTCAACAATTAAAATCAGAATGTACTTCAGAAATATATTTTAGTAACTGAGCATTTGTGGCAATTCATTTATTTTCCTTGTATGTGGCTTTTATTTTTCCAGATTTGGATATCAGAAACACATGAGAAAATGCCACAAGTTTGTTTAAACACAGAATTGGCTGAAATAAAGAGCAAGGCTTTATTGAATGAGGAAACTATGAGCTCTGGAATTATTGAAAGGTATGCTTCATACTGTCCTTTGCTTAGAACAGGCACATTCAGGAAAGGGTTTATATAAGTAGTGAAGAGGTATAGTGGCCCCAGGTGCATATTACAGGACCACATCAAGCACAATCAACACATCTCAAGCTTCCATGCTTTCTGTTCATGCTGTTCCCTCTGGAATTCCTTTCCCTTGTTTGTTTGCCAATCAGCACTACGCATTCTAGGTCCCTCTAAAATGTCATTTCCCGTTTACACATTGTTTTCTGGTCCTGGTTCTGACGACTTAGGTTTGAACCCCATCTCCACAATTTACTTGTGAAAATTATGCGGTATCTATAATCCTCAGTTCATAAAATGGGAATTATGAAAGTATCTACTTTATAAGGTTGTTTTAAGTTTAGATGAAAAGTATGAAATGTGCATAAAAATACTGCCTGACATGCAGTAAGAATTAGGTAAGCTGTCATTAATCAGAATTAATTGCTCTCATATTCTTGCTCTCTGAGCATTTTGTTTATGTTCTACATAGCAGTTGGACTTACATTCAAGTTATTTATATGAAAGTGTTTCCTCTGAGATTGTTCCTTGAGGGTAGGAACTGTTTCTTAGTCACATCTGTAATCCTGCAGCCTGGCATAGTGCCTTTCCATGGAAATGTGTGACATAGACTTCATCTTGTATTGTAGTTATTGGACAAAATGCTGAAATTTCTTTCCATTTACTTGTTGGGACATTTTATTTTGCAAAGTGCATTAAAGTTGCAAACATGGAAATCCTTTAAAAATTATAATAAAAATTCAGCTCCGAAATTAATTTTATATAGCTCTGAAAGTTTATAAATATCAACTTGACATGTTTTCTAAAAATTGTTATCTTGTTTCCAGGGACACTGGGTTGCCTGCCACAGGTTTTGGAGCTCTCTTTCCTAGCCACCCATCAGATTGGTACGAAATGTTCAAAATGTTCATAGTCCCTAAACTGCTGCAGATTGCACAAAATGTTTCTTAATGGTTCAGGAGGTTTGTTTGCAGGGGTGAAGGGGTGAGGGGTGAACCAAGGTCAACAAAGTGCCCTTTATGTGCCATCTTACAGACTTCTTTCCTTTTTTAAAAAAAATGGTGTTTATTTTTTTCCAACTTATTAATACCAACAAACCTGTTAGAAGAAAAATAGATTATCATTTAAAAACAACTGTAAACATGTGTATTTGTGTGTGTGTACCAAAAAATCAGCATTAGACTTCTTTCATTTAACAAAAGATTTTTCCCATCAATATGTAAGCAATAATAATAATAATATAGTAGTCAATACTCATTATTTGTAGATTCTATATTTACAAATTCTCTTACTTGCTAAAATTTATTTGTAACCCTCAAATCAATACTAAGGGTGCTGTTGCAATCATTAATGGATATACATAAAGTGGCAAAAAATTTGAGCCACCCAATGCACACGTTCTCAGCTGAGGTGGAACAAGGCAAGACTCTGCCTTCTTGGTCCAACTCTCATACTGTACGCAAGTGTCCTTTTCATGGTCATGTATGTTTTTTTGCATTTTTTTGTGTTTTTTGTTGGTGATTTTGCTGTTTGAAATGGCTTCCAAGTGTAGTGCTAAAGTGCTATCTAGTGTTTCTAAGAGCAAGAAGGCTGTGATGTGCCTTATGAAGAAAATAGGTGTGTTATATAAGCTTCATTCAGGCATGAGTTACAGTGTGGTTGGCCATATTCAACATTAATGAGGCAACTATATAATGAATAAAATGTCTCAAACAGAAACACACATAAAACCAAGGTATGTATTGTTTGGTTGATGAAAATGTTGTGACCAGAGGCTTGAAGGAACCTAGCTCTGTATTTCCTATAGAGCTAGGAAGGGGTTCAGGATTTGCTAATTCAGTGTTCACAGTTCCTTTATAGAATATTACTGTGAATAATGAGAATTGAGTGTATAGCAAGAAACTACTATTCTTTACTGATACATAAATTTCTTTTGGGGGCAGCATGACTTGTTACTACAGAAAAGAAATTTCCACTCATCTTTCTAAAGAAGACAAACTTTCATAATTTCTGTAATGATAAATAGATAAGTGATGAAATATAGGTACTTACAAGCATGAAAAAATTCTAAGTGTTAGATTGTATATTATGAAGATATGAGTACATATTATCACTGGAAATTTAGATGTTTTTGCTTCCTTTGAGAGCTGTCTGGCATTAGAGTTAACCTGTTCTGCAGAGTCTGCCTAGGGTGGGGGTGGAGAGTACCCTAAATAATAATGCCCCACCCCATTTCATAGTCATCTGTTACAATTTTGGCCAGGTGTTTTAAACTGCGGGTTCTAATCTTCATTACTCCTGCAAGGCTGGCCTGGTCTGTGTCCCCTACAGCCTGCTGTAGCATCTCTAAGTAGGCTGGAAGATCCACAGGGAGTATTCCCAGAGTGATAGTTGAGGAGGCGGGCTTCTGGCTTCTATCAAGGTGATGAACTAAAAACATCCTACTGGCTCCATTTCTTGCACTGAAATCTAGAAATTCCAATAAAGACATGGGTAGACAGAATGAATCCAGAGGCAGACTTTGACAGCTATATCAAAACTCTGAGAAAATCTTTGGAAAATGATGGGCTAGAGCAGAAGATTGCTGAGGGATGGGTTGAAGGGAGAAGAGAGAAGGCAGGGTTGAGGTCTCTACATGGAGACTTGGGCCAACCCAGGGTGAGAGCTGTAATCTCAGTGGGCCAGGCTTGGATAGGAGCTGAACAAGGCTTATCTATTGAGTTTGCAACTTGGATTATATGCTCCAAGTTGGATTTTTCTGCATTGATTTTGACTGCTGTTTTCAGCCAAGGACAGAAAATGAGACACCCAGGGCTTTACATAATAGAAATTTTGATGCCAGCAACCTGCCTCCCTGCAGCTCTGACCTCAGCATTGAGATCTATAATGACAGTACAGATAGCCAGGAGGACCCTGAGTTGTCTCCCCCAACTCCAATTAGGGAAAGCAATCTCAGATATAGAGGAACTAGGCAGTATATCTTAAGGAGAAAGAAATGCCAGGGAAAATAAGTGCAGTTAAGCCCAGAGAAGTGCAGTAGAGGCACTCAACTCATATCTCCTATGCATACACTGAAGACACCAGCTAAGCCTCCCTTTTCAGTGGACCACTTATGTAGTCATCAAAAGCAGAGGCACACATTAAAAAAAAAAAAAAGCAGAGGCAACTGATCGTCTTAGTAATAATACAGATGAATTCCAGGTCTTAAAAAAATATCATGACACATGTAAAGAACAAAAGCATCATGAAGAATGAAAAGATATAGGCAACCTATACCTGATGAAGTAGACCTGATGGAACAAATGTAACAGGAATTTAAAACCAATGGAACCGAAATTTAAAGCTTTATTACCTAGAGAAATAAAGACAGTTACAAAATAAGGCAAAATAATAAAAATCAGGTTGACATTAACTTCCCAACAGCAACACTGGATGCAAGAGCATAATATTAAAATATTGAAGGAAAAGAATTTTGAACCCAGAATTATTTAAATGTGAGAGTCAAATAAAGATATCTTCAGGCATATGAGGACTGGTTTCAGACTTACTATCCTGCCACAAATAGCTACAGGACTGAGCAAAACATATTAGGCAACTGTTGTCAAGGGTTGGATAGCAACCAGCATGGTTCTGTGCTCCTGAAGATGAGATGTGAGCATCACTTATGCACTGAAGTCACTTTTCCTGGCTGCAGTGCAGCAGGGTGAGCCCATGAGTAGAGCAGTGTTATTGTTGATCTGGGAGGCGGGAATAGGAATTTAGAGCTTCTGATGTAAATGGAATTTGTACGATACAGTATTGGACAGAAGGAAGTTGTGTTTGGAGATAGGAACAGTAGTCTGCATGGGATTTCCCTCAGGTTCTTAGTCAAGGGCTGGGCTCTGCATGCACTATCAAAATAGTACATATTCCTGCTTTTAAAAAATCAAATAGAACTGTCTATAGTGTATTCTAAAATTTCACAATGGTACTCCCTCCTGCATGGTAGTATTGTGTAGTGGGCTTTAGGGCTCCATTACCTGCTTTCAAATCCTGGCCCTGCCACTTACTAGCTGTGTGAACTTGGGCTAATTGCCTAACCATTTTGTATCTCATTTTTCTTCATCTGTAAAATGGGGATGATAATTATAAAGCCACCATGTTATAGGGTTGTTGTGACAATTAAGCAAGTTAATACATGTAAAACAGTTAAAATAGTAATTTGTGCATACGTGGTAAATGCTACGTAGATCAGCTGGGCTAGACACTTGGCAAACCCTTTTCATCTAGAAACACATATCTATCAGTTCAGGAAAATATTCTTTTTTTTTTTTTTTTGTGGTACGTGGGCCTCTCACTGTTGTGGCCTCTCCCATTGTGGAGCACAGGCTCCGGATGCACAGGCTCAGCAGCCATGGCTCACGGGCCCAGCTGCTCCGCGGCATGTGGAATCTTCCCAGACCGGGGCAGGAACCCGTGTCCCCTGCATCGGCAGGCGGACTCTCAACCACTGCGCCACCAGGGAAGCCCTCAGGAAAATATCCTTGATTTATTTCATTGATGATTTATACCCTCCATTTTCTTTGTTCTCACTTTTTGGAAATCCTTTATGTGGATGTTGGTTTGCCTGGCCTGGTTCTCTAATTTTCTCATCTTCTCTCTATTTTATATTTATCTTTATTGTCTACTTTACTCTCTGTGTCTTCAACCCTACTATTGAGTTCTCTTTTTGTTTTCTGAATCCTTCTGTTTTTATAGAATCCTTTTTTGTTGTTTGTTTCATGACTGAACTATCTTCTCTTATCTGTATGGGGATGTTAATAATAGTTCGTTTTCCTTAATTTTTTTCTTCATGCATCGTATCTATTTCCTCCACGATACTTTTTATTAGTTTGCCTTTTATTTGTTTGCTTGGTCTCTATCTTCCATACTAGAAGCTTTCCTCAGATGTTTGGTAATTAATTCTTGGTTCTCTGTGCATGATTAAGAGATGAGGGTCAGAACCTGCGTGTGAAGCTTGTTGATTTAGAGCTTCACTGGAGGAATCTAGGTGGGCCATTTTTTTTTGTAGAAGCCCTGGTATCAGTATTTTTAGTCTTTCCTCAGGGACTGGTCACATTCCCCAGAGGAAGTTCCCCAGATTGCCCATTTGAATGACGAAGGGCTGGTGCCTGTGTTATTGAAGTGAGTAAGGCAATTGGCTAGGACATCAATATTAATCCTTCATCGTGTATGGTCACCGAACTGTGTTGTTGGTCAAGAACTTTCTCTTTTACCCTTCCTAGTGAATAAATTTCTAGTTTCCTGCTGGAGTAGGAGAGGGGCCGTTATCCAGCAGTAGGGTGTGGAGGAGGAGCCCGGAGCTCATGTGCTCCTCAAACAGCTCTTCCCCAATCCTCCTTTGCTGATTGAGGATTTATTCAGCTTTCTGCTAAGTCAGAGACCACTCATCCATCTCTTGAGTTTCCAAAATTTATTTCTCTTGTTCCTTTTATGTTCTCCTTGTTCTTGTGGGTTTATTTTTACTTTTTTGAGTAGCTTTATATCCTTGATTTATTTCATTGATGATTTATACCCTCCATTTTCTTTGTTCTCACTTTTTGGAAATCCTTTATGTGGATGTTGGTTTGCCTGGCCTGGTTCTCTAATTTTCTCATCTTCTCTCTATTTTATATTTATCTTTATTGTCTACTTTACTCTCTGTGTCTTCAACCCTACTATTGAGTTCTCTTTTTGTTTTCTGAATCCTTCTGTTTTTATAGAATCCTTTTTTGTTGTTTGTTTCATGACTGAACTATCTTCTCTTATCTGTATGGGGATGTTAATAATAGTTCGTTTTCCTTAATTTTTTTCTTCATGCATCGTATCTATTTCCTCCACGATACTTTTTATTAGTTTGCCTTTTATTTGTTTGCTT